GTGCTAATGTTAAGTTTTGACTTTTATTTCTCAAATTAATACCTCTCTATTTATCTGCCTTCACCTCTATCTCTGCATCCTCACATCAGAATCATAGAGTTCTTTGCCAGGCAAAATCTCTTAAATGTACAATCTATTCTTATAAAAAAAAAAAGTGATGTTTGAATAAACTCCAGAATACTCAGACCACTTGATTTTGAACTATGTGCTTGATAGACATGTAAATTAGAATTTATAGGGAAAATCAGACCCCGTTGTGAAAAGCATTAAACTCTCTCTTTCTAATGCCAGAATATGTAGAGGAAGATCTTATTTAAAATCTTTTATATTGAGACACCTCCACACCTTTCAAGTTCATAACAGATTCCTGGAAGAGTATTGTACTATGTAACTATTGAATGATGTGTATCAGCTACTGTCTATTATTTATGTGAGTTGTAAATTTGATGTGAAAAATTCAATAGAAATAAAATATTTATGCCATTAAGTTATCATCCTATTATTGCTATGAAGCTAGCAGTATATGAGAGTACATTTTGGTACCTTGGCAAAAAATGTATCTTTAAATTTTTTAAAGTGAGTAAAGGGGACCATGAAACTTGGGAAATAGCAGATGAAATTTTGTGATAACACAATAATATCAAAATGATTTGGTCTAAAGCCTTAGACTTAGAGACAGTAGATTTACTTTTCATTCTGCCTTGGGTTACTTAACAAGAATTACTTAAATGAGCCTTTTCATGACTCTTCTAGGAATATTTTGTTCTCCTTGTGTATTTAATCCATTTTTTCAACCAAAACTGTGGATCGAACATACAGTATGGTGGTACAGGCAGTATTCTTGGTCCTAGAGATACAAAGTTCCTTCTCTCACATCCTAATATGAAGGACAGACAAACAAATAAGTATAAAGTGGAAATTTTTTTCTGATTGCTTTTATTTTCTCAGTAATATAGGAATCATGGTTATCAACTGAGAGTAAGGATGGTGAAGGAGGAGAGGAAGTGTTGAAGATGGGAAGAGAGAGGAGTAGGTATGAAATGGTAACCTAAGAGAATGGAGAAGCGAATGGAGAAGAGAAATTCAGCAGATTTTCTGAGCAACACTAAAGTCTGCTTGAGGCCAGTGGTCATGAGTTTTACTAGTACCTATGAGCATGATTATTTGTTTTACCACCCATGTTTAGTCAGAGGTGTATAGATGTAGATGTAGGTGAAGAGTTGGAATTTGGTTAGGTAAGATGAGAAGAATCAGGGAGCTCAAAGATCAGGGAGAAGGATCAGAAGGATCAGGGAGTTGAGGATGGTTGTGAGAGAGTATTTTAAGGTGTTTGCAAGATTTTGAAAAATACTTAGGAAATAAAAGTTCTGCCTAGGTATAGGGAATAGTGTTTTAAGATGCAGAACAGTCTGGCAAAGTGAATCCACAAACTGGCAAGCCAGAATGTCACTTTCAATTCCAGAGCAAAGACATTTTACCTTCTTAATGTGAAAAGGGGCCAGTGATTGGAACAAGGGCTCACGTCCTTTGAGGATTTGCCAAAATCGGTTGGAATTGACATCAATCTTCTATTTCTATTGGTATTTTTACTGTGAAACTCAGACATATGGTTGAAAGACTTGAGTAAAGTGGCTAATTCTGAATTTTATTTCTAAATCGTATCTGGAGAGCAACTATAATGCGATAACAGCCAAGCAATATGAGTGCAGATCTTCCTCAAAATGAATCCTAGGATCACCAAAACTTCATTTGAGATGGATTTTTGCCTTTAAAAATTAATGGTGCGGAATGATGTCAATAATACCTTTGATTTATACCATGATGCATGGTAGCAAAAACCAATGAAGAGGAAAGAAACCAGTTTTGATGAAGTAGTTAATATGTGTCAGGTACTTTATATTCTTTGTTGCTCATTCCTATAATTCTGAAAATTAGTGTTATTATCTCCATGTTACTGTTGAAGAGCCCGAAACGTGAAGTCTGACTGATTTTCAGTCTCGTTTTCTCTGTTGCACTGAGCTGCCTCGTCCTTTCAAATGGAAGCTTATTGTTGGGGCTTGATGGTGCTCTCCATTCTCCCTACATTTTTCCATGCTCTCCTTCCCGCCCTCCCCCCCACCCCCGCCTAAAAAAAATGAAGTGGAGGTTGAGAACACCCTGGTTGTGATGGAATTGTGCTGTTCTGATCAGAATTTACTGATGATAATTCAAGGCAGAGTGTTTTTGTTATTGTTTGTTCCTGGTATGGAGGTTTTGGAACTGTTGCTCAGATAATTAGTCAATGGTACCTGGTACATTATTTATAATAATACTAAAGGGAAAAATGACAGCCAGGAAATCCATTCTGTTGATTATCCACGTGTGTTCTAAAAGAGGTGGCCCAAATTTCTGCCCATTTATATTGTACAGTTTTTTTTTTCAGACAGATTCCAAAACTGCCAAGACACTTACAGTGTGAAATATCCTGTGCCAAATAGTTATGGCATCTTTGTGCCAATAATTGAGACAAAAAATTGCTGTAGAATGAAGCTAACAGCAAAAATAGCAACCATCCTCTGTGGGAAGCCAATGGTTTTCTTTAGAGAGGAAACAACAGATGAAATATGAGTAATTATACTATGTAGTCTCTTTGGCCAAGAGTATACTGTTTACCTAAGCTTTTTTTCTTATGGATTAGAATCTTGTATTACAGTCTAGTAGATTGATTTAACTGCTTTTGTGACTTCCTTTTATTTTTAAGATTAAGCAGTCCATGACAAAGAGGTTAATTGCAACCCAATAGAGCTAAACTAATGTTTTATTAAGAAGGAGTTGGCATTCTGAGCTTTTAGGAGAAAAAATGTTCTCATAATACCATGAACAACGTATAGAGCAAGTATTAGACTCTTCATATTCATCCATCTGTTCACATTACCCCATATCGACCACATTTAAGTAACATCAGCAAACTGTGCTGAATAATCAGTCACACCAGTTAGCTCTCTGTAAAGGTGAGATCAGTAAATGTATCTCTGGGATAAGTTAGAACTGCTGATGTGTTTTTTTCTCTGACATAGACAGTGTGGCTGCTCAACTTTTTCAAAGTTTGTCTGCATGGTGGGGGTTGGTGACAGATCAAATGAACTAATTTTTTAAATAACGGGCAATTCTAGATGTGTCCCCAAACACAGAGATATGGGCCTAAGCAAATTCACTGTGGCCTTGTTAATGTGAAAAATCTACAAACCACTTAAATGTCCATGAACAGGACATCAGAAAAGAGCAAATGCCTAATTCCCTGAGATAATAGCGATATAGGCAAGAATCAGTGTCATGTGGGTGGGTGTGGATGTCAAGGGAACAGAAGGGAAATTGAAGGCTATTGTGTTTCTTATAGCTTTTATTTCTTTAATAATGTATCTGACAAGGTAATCTGCTGAAATTTATGAGAGAAGGGGCAGTAAAGGGGTCTTGAGAAAAATTCTAACTGTTGAGAACTGAGAACTACAAGAAAGCCCTACATGTAGGAAATGAGAGAGCACATGCCATTTGATGGTTTGTATTCTCCTATGTGTCATTGAACTTATTCCTTCAATATATCTCTTTTTTTTTTTCAAAATGTATTCTGGATGAATCTTATTTCACACAGGGAATGAAAATAGGCTAGTCTTTTAATCCAACACTCAGTGTACTAAGGGATGCAACATCACCTGTCTTAGAAATATGAAATTTCAGTAAGTATAAGACTGACTTGGAAGTTTTTTAAAAAATTCAGTGCAATTCTAATACTCAACTAATGTAAGAAAGAGAAGTGATCACCAGGAAACGTTTAATATATCTGTTGCCAACATAGTTACTGTCATCCAGAAACATCCTTACCACTTTTATCTAACAAAGCAAAATCAAACCTACACAATGCAAGGAGGTGCCCAGAATTTTGTGGCTAGCTAGCTACATTGACTACTGGGACTACATAATATATTTGAACAAAACAGAAAGGTCACACATAAAAATTACTCATTATTTTATAGCCACACTTGAAATGTAAGATGGCTATGTAGAAATAAATGCTTTAGATTCATACTTTTAATTAGTTCTGGTTGTTATGCTGTTTCTGAGATCATTTGAATATTAGCAAGAATGTTGGATTCCATATTCATTATGTGTGAAAAACTGAGACTTTCTTCCCTTGTTTTTAAGGTTGGACAAAATTTGCCAGATTGACACGGGCTTTGACAAATAGTCGAAGTGTTTTGCAGCAGCTCACACCAATGAATAAAACAGAGGTGGTCCACAAACATTCAAGATTAGCTGAAGTAAGTGTGAGACTCACTTCACTTTTCGAGTTGATGGTGGTGGTCCATTTTTCCCCCCAGATGATTCAATATAGATATTTCTGGTCATTATTTTGTAAATCCTTATCTGATAATTTATTTTCCGTAGTAGAATTATAGAAATTTCAAATATTTCTTTTTATTTCCTTTCTTTTGAAATTGGAAAGTAGTTCATGACATCCTAGGTGATGCCTGTACTGTGTGAGGTTTCCTTTGAGCAAATGAGATAGGGAGTTCACTCTCATCCATTTATGTAAGCAACACACACATATTGAGGGTTTGCACTGTGCTTGGTACTCTGCAAAGGATGTAAAGATGAATGAGCAATGGGCTCTATCATCAAAGAGCTAAAAATCCAGAGGAAATCAATAACAGAATGTGATAATTATTATGACAGGGTACAGTGGGAACAGCACCAGGCACATTTACCCAAACTTAGAGTTCTGGGGAGGACTACCAAGTGAGGTGATACCTGAGCTGAGTGAATCTTGAAGAAAAAAATATAAGAGGCAGGTAAAAATGAGACGAAAGTTATTTCTACCAGGGAGGCCAGCATATGCAGCGGCTCAGAGATGAGATAGTACGGTGACTTTGAGTGTGACTTCAATGTGGGTGAAGTTGGGTAGGAAAGGAAAAGTTGAGGTGGTTGGTGTATAGTGAAACAGTGGTGGTTGGTGTCTTGTGTGTCAGGGAACGACGTGATCACATGCGTGCTTCAGGAAAACCTCTTAAAGGGAGCTTGGTCCCAATGGTTTCCTTTGTAATTCGATGTTTTTATTGAATTAATTTAAAAACATTATTCTTAGAAGGAGTCCATAGATTTCGACCAGATTGCCAAAAGAGATCCATGGCACAAAAATGATTAAGAACCCCTGCTTGACCTAGTGACTCTGTATTGAATGGGTAGTTAGGGAAACCAGTTAAGAGGTTCTAGTAGTAATCCAACTAGGATGATCATGGCCTTAAGCAAGAGAAGAGGTAGTCGAAGTGGGCAGATTGCAGACACAGCAAGATTAGAGTCAACACATTTGCTGATAGATTCCGAATTGAGTGTGAAATAAAGGGATGAGTCAAGGACAACTCTGTTTTTGGCATGGACAACTATGTAAATAGTGAGTGTTATGGGTTCATAGAGTGTCCAACATAGAGGAAGAAGAGAAGTTTGCAGGCAATGATAACACATCCAGTTTTGGACATATTAAGTTTGAAGTACCTGACAGGAAATCCTAGTGTAAATGCCTAAAAGACAGTGGGATCAAAGGGTCTGGTCCCAGAAGGATACCTGGGTGCGAGTTGCAGGCCTTGGTATCATCTTCACAAATATGGCTGTTAAAGCCATAGGACCAGACGATGTTATCAGTCAGTGCACTGAATCTGGAGAGAAAAGGAATGAGGACAGAACTCAGAGGCTGCCAGAAGCCTTGCTGTTCATGGGTCTTCTATAATCATCATTTGTCTTACTGATTTGAAAGATGCCATAAAGTTAATCGAGGTACCAAAACTATGCCGAGCACTTAGTGAACACTCACAAAGTATTGTGAGGTGAATTACCAAGGAAGGGAAAGGTCAAATTAAATGTGTTCATCAGTTTGCTTTGCTGGGGAAAAGTGAGTTGAAGTGCTTCAAAGTAACTTTCTTAACTACTTGAAGATCTTAGTTTGGTTTGGAGAGGGTTAGAAAATAAAGCGTTTCCTGAATTTGGAGGGTTCTGAAGTTTTTCTTGGGTCATAGCTAACAGAGGGACTTGAATTGCTTTCTAAATAGCCCTGTTAGCTTCAGGAGATATTAATACTTTGATGTGCCGACATGTTTTTAAAAGCCTAAATAAGACACCAGCGTAACTAAATATTAACTAATAATAATAATAATAACAATGTTTTTAAAGATATGCAAAAGATTTAAAGCAGACAATTGGACACAATTTTCTTTTTCAGTAATGCTTATTATCAAGTATTACTTGATTTGGAAGCGACTTTCTTTTCTGCCTTGAATTGTCTGTTTCTTTCTACAAATCAAACTAAAGCAGCATCCCCCACCTTTTTGGCACCAGGGACTGGTGCTCCTATGAGAATCTAATGCCTGATGATCTGAGGTGGAGCTGAGGCTGTGATGCTAGCGCTGCGGAGTGGCTGCAAATACAGATGGAGCTTCCCTCGCTCGCCTGCCGCTCACCTCCTTGCCACATGGCCCAGTTCCTAACAGGCCATGGACTGGTACCAGTTTGCGGCCCAGGGGCTGGTGACCCCTGAGCTATAGTGTAAGAGCTCATTTCTGTGACCGCTGACTTTTATAGTCGTATTTCCCCCTGAGCTTAACTACACCCTATTCAGAGCTTTCCTTTTCTTTGTTAACACAATTGGGCGTGAACAAGAGGAAAGGGACCATAAAGTGGAACATTTTCTACCTTAACACCCCAAGTCACTCATAATTGGTTTTTTACCTCTACATCACGTATGTAGAAAGTTTCTTTTCCTTGACAGCTTATCATTTTTACTTTTATTTTTGAGGAACTTTCATTCCTATTTCTCCCCATCTAAATTTTTTTTCTTTGCCCTTTTTTTGATTACCATTAGTTTCTTATCAGTCATCCCTAATTCACCACCTGATTCAGACACAAAACTGCTTTCTGTAAGGTCTTAGGCTGATTTCAAAGAACACGCAGAAATAAGGTTTCCAGTAGATTTAGTCTGCATGTGATTTTAGCTGACCTAGAAGCAGCATCAGCATAGCACAAGAATATCGTTTTTCCGATTGTGCTCAGAGTCCAGTGGGCTCAACTCAAGTATTTGGATTTGCCATTGAATTTTAGGCTCTTTTACTTTTTCTGAGAAATATAAATTTTATCTCAGGTCCACTGGGATCCCTAAATTTGGAGCTGATCCCCAGTTTCAAAGATCCTGGTCTCTCCACAGGCGATTTACCAGTTTTCCGTATGTACTGATATCTTGCTGATTGGTTTCAGCTTCTCACTTTTATGCTGGGTGGAGATAAACATGTGCCCCATGGTCAAGTCCATGGTCCTAACTCCATTAGATTCAGTGCTCTCAGATATTCAGAGAGAGAGAATGTGTCTTTATTGGCCCCCAGATACATTAGAAACTGTTATTTCACCCTACCCCTTCCACCTAAGGCTTACTGCCTATGAAAGTACAAAGGAAATAACGAAAATGAGGTTGTTATCTACTGCTTTATAAAAGAGCCCCAGTGAGGGAGCTAAGATTAAAATAGTATTCTGCATGTGAGAAAGATCAAAGCTTAAGCATGAGTCCCTTCTTCTGTTGTTGCCATTCTCCTCTCTCTCCTCTTCCCGTTCCTCCTCCTTTTCCTCTTGTATTTTTGGATCGCTTTATATATGCAAGTCACTGTCTGAAGAATTGGATTCTGAATGTCTAAAGAAATATAGGACAAGGGTTTTTCCTTGGAGTGTACATTATAATCACCTGAAAAGATTTTGAATATAGAAATTCTCTGAGAACCCACACAAGATGAATTTTATTATTTTCTGGGGTGGGGTTTAGGTATGAGTATATTTTTTTTTTTTTTTAACTTCTTCAGATAATTCTAGTTTGTAGCCAGACTTAAGAAACACTGAACTCAAGAGTGATCCCATTCTATCTCTAGAGGAGACATCTTACATTATTCCAGGGTACCGAGCAGGGTGGTTTTGTCTATTAACACAGTGTATAGGAGGCCCGCAACACTTATAGGGGTCCACAGGATACTTGAATTTCTATTAATAGTAGAAGGAAGAAATGAACTTTTAGGTAAAAAGTTGAATTTGTAATATTTATTTATTTTTATGACAATGCACTTGTAAAATATAATTTTTATTTTATTTTATTTTTACGGAGGAAAGGATTCAGGAAGGCAAAAATGCCTAGGGTCTCTGAGAGTCATAATGCACCTTGGCAATGAGTTTATTTTCTAAGTCTGATTTCCTTGTGCTCAAACTATAGACTGTAAATATAGATGGGAAAGTATTAATGCTGAATATATGAAGGAAATTTTCATGTTTAACAGAGTGAAATTGGAGTGGATAGATCAGTTGTCAAAAAATGAAAGCAAGCCTTGATTATGTATGATGCTATATGTGTAACACTCCAATCTCAACATGAAGCTTACATTCTTGGTAGGATAATTTGCTGCTAAGTAATTTAAGACCTTATGGAAAAATATGGCTAGGGCACTGATAAAGAGAGTAAATACATAAAAAAATATAAATAGTTCTCATAACTCCCAACCTTGAAACAATAATTATAATAGATAATTAAAGAGTATACCAGTAATGTTTTTCACATTTCAAAATATAGTAATAATGGGTACTAAATACTTAATTTTCAGTTATGTAAATTCTATATATGAGAGAAACTTTTCAGGATAACTCTCTCCCATGTTTCAGAAAAGCTGATATATTTGTTTCACTTTGTGGCATATGAGTTACATGCTAACAGGCATTTTTGTTTATATCTATTCTTACATTCAAATGTTTAGTGCATTATGATTTTATGATTTGAACTTTTTGACTCTTACCTCCTGGGTCCCATTAGTCCTAGATACACTGAATAATTGATGCATAAGATGGCAAAACTGCTGAAAACATTATTTATCGAAGTCCCATTTGCAAACTCCTTCAAACATAGGTTTACTCAGCCTTAGCATCATCGATGGCATGGAACAGAGGCTCTCTCACCTGCTCCTTCAGCTTCTTTTCACAATTTCCAGGTTCCAAGTTCTGGAAGGCAGTGCTAAGTCCTGCGTTTGTTACCTGTGCCAAGGGCTGCCCAGACCTTTACTCTTGCTCTGTTGTCTGCTTTTTCTCTTTGTCTCTTAAGGCGGACGTAGCCAGAGTAGTCAAGGTTTGTATAACCTTGCACTAAAATTTTCCATTTGTCAAAAAGGTATGTAGAAGCAAACCTGAGTATTTAGCTTTTTTTTTTTTTCCCTAAAGGGAATATGCATCTGATAGGAAACATAATATTCTATAAACTCTAATTGAGGGGAGAAAAGAAACAAGGCTATAACATTTACAACCTTGATATTTCTGTGCTGGTCATTAGGGCCCTTGCTGAGTCCCACTGAACAGCAAGATCACTAACAGTGCGGCCCTGGGGTTCAGCGAGACCATCAGAATCAAAGTTATGCTCCCTGAGGTGCTAAAGATGTATAAAGAATGGGTAATGGTGAGTCACCCAAATAACTGTTGCACCATCAGTAAGAGATGTGGGATTCGAGGCAGGCTTGCCAAGTGAGTCTGCAGAAGGCATTCCCAGAAGTGGATGTTTAGCAGTGCTGTGGGTCAGCACTGATTTGGAGGAGGTCATCAAGAGGAAACGACCACCAGTTGGTCCTTGGTCTGGACCCGGGCAATCAGAGGCTCCTCACCTCTTCCTCTATCCTTGGAATGTATGCTCTATTCATCCTTCCCACAGTAGGAGACATTTTCAAGGATGTAGCCTTGAGAGAGCTGTGTTGTTAAGACCATCAGGATAGCATACATGTCTGCACCCAGTTAAGGCCTCCATATAAACTTTTAAGATTCCGATGGACTGGTGAGGAGATCTACTCCTCTCATAGTTGTCCAAGACAAGCCTTCTAAGTTCCCTTTTAAGTTCCCTTGCTTATTGAAACCACCACATACCAATCTGTAGTGATCTGCCTCTTTCTTTGGTCCCTTCTTGCCCTCAGTGTATAGGAGCCAGTTTGAGAATCAACATTTGAAAATTGTTGATTCAACTGGAGGGAACACCAGATGGAATAGCAAATAGATCAATTTTTGTAGAGAGATTGGACTTGGAGTGACTTCCTTTGAACAAACTTTGGTACAATTCTGGAGAAGAGAGAGGTGAAAATCTAGGGCATCACTCGCTTTGAAACCAGGTGTCATGATAAAACAGGCTGTGGTTTGACTGCCAGTAAGTTTGAATTCAGTACTAACTGTGCAGAGATGTCCACGTTAGTTACATATGCATTGTCTCTCTTTTAGGTTCTTCAGCTGGGATCAGATATCCTTCCTCAGTATAAACAAGAAGCGCCAAAGACGCCACCACATATTATTTTACACTATTGTGCTTTTAAAACTACTTGGGATTGGGTGATTTTAATTCTTACCTTCTACACCGCCATTATGGTTCCTTATAACGTTTCCTTCAAAACGAAGCAGAACAACATAGCCTGGTTGGTGTTGGACAGTGTAGTGGACGTTATTTTTCTGGTTGACATTGTTTTAAATTTTCACACGACCTTCGTGGGACCTGGTGGAGAGGTCATTTCTGACCCCAAGCTGATAAGGATGAACTATCTGAAAACTTGGTTTGTGATCGATTTATTGTCTTGTTTACCTTATGACATCATCAATGCCTTTGAAAATGTGGATGAGGTAAGTTTCTTTTTTTTCCTTTTTGAGTATTGTGGATGATGTTTTGAGAAAATTATGGTAAAAAGAATTTATAGATAATTCAAACTTCTTTTTAGCCACCACTTTCAACCTTTACCCAACTAAACACTTGCTATAAATTATCATAGTTGATTACCTTAAATTAATTTTTACCTGCTTTTTTGTTCTTGATTTCTGGTTGAAATACTAATTACTAGGAAAATGGCTGTGGTTGGAGATCGTGGTTGGAGGATGTGGAGCAGAAGAAAAGCAGCACTTTTGGAGTTGAATACAGTTCACAAACTAGATAATTGATTGAAAGATAATGAAGTAGATGTATTTTCTTTGGAAACTGTAACATTTTAAAATCATGCATCACAACATAGACTATTAAGTAGCCATTAAAAATACATAGGAACTACTGAATATCAATTAATTTGGAAGGATTTTCGTGAAATTCTGCTTTATTCTTGATATGCATATATAGATCTGTATATAATTGTACGAAATGAAGGGAAAAAATGGAAGGCGACATACCATTTGTTAACCTAGTTTACTGGGATGGGTATGGAAGAAGAAGAGAAAAGGGATGTGGGAACCCACCAAAAAGAGAAAGAGAAAAAGATTTTACTTTAAACATGTAACATTTTTACTTTAAAAGTGTAATGTTACCAAATTATGTGTTTATGTAAAGTTATGTATGTGGGTATACAAATTTTTTTAAAAAATAGGTCAATTTAAATGTCACCTATTGGATTGTGATTGAAAAAAAACATGCAACTGAATTGAGACCCAGGGGAAAGACATCATAAAGTACTGCAATTCAATCACTATGGTAACTTGCAAAGTATTTTTGCAGAGCTGTTCTCACAGCTCTCACATGTACAATCAAAACAAATATGCTAAACACTAAAAGTTAAAGAGAACTGGTCATTTTGTGTGCTGTATTAACACATTTAATAGTATCATTGTATATAATGTGAAGTTTATGTTAAGTTCACATACTATTATACAGTCTATTTTTGTTTACTTTGATGATATGATTTCTAAAGGACTAATAGTATAAAGAAAAAGTTTTGATGCTGCAGTACAAGGTGATGAGAGAGATTATAAGCAAATGTGTGCCTTTCAAACGCATATGTACATATATGTATATATACTTATTTGTATTTACTATATGTTATACTATATTTGTACATACTATCAGCTTTTAAAAATCACATCACTTATGTGAGTTAATTTTCATAATGGTACTAAAAGAATTAACTATGTTACCCCCTTTAGAAGATAATAATATGTAGGTAAATAATGTGGAGTGTTTTCCATTATGAATTTTACCTTTTTCTTCATATAATTTTATGTTTAAAAAATGCTTTACTATGAATTTTGTGGAAAAAGAAAAACCTAAAAATCACCTAAAAATGGTAGAAGATGGAATTGGGGGAAATTATAATGTTCCTATTATACATGATGAACTTTTACCAATTTTCACAAATACTTGAAATTCGAAGTCCCAAAGCAATTGAGCAACAAGGTCCCATAAAAAAGCAAAAACAAATATAAACAAAAAACTCTCAGTGTATCCATATATCTCTGGACTCCTCTCTCCAGATACATATGATAGCAGTGTTTGAGTTAACATAAAGATAGGGAAACATTTATAGAAGAGCAATTCTTGAATTTTTGCCTTTTTTGGTTTCTTTTTTTATAGCTTTGCTTATAAATTTTGTCTAAGTGCATTTGTGGTTAGAGACCATATTGGATGAATTTAGATGTCTGGTTTAATTCAAGGTTCTGCTAATTCAGTGTTATCTGTACAACAAAATACTCAAAACATGCACAATATCTTAAAAGACCACTCCATCTAGAGTTTCTTAGCCTTTAACTTAATAGTGGATGATTTTCAATTTGCTGCACTAAGCTAATAGGATACAGCCCATAATTTCAACTAATAACATAGAAATGAGTCAATATAGAATATGTCCATTACTAAATTGTGTTCATGATGATAATACTATAAACTTAATTTCCCTAAAGAATCTACTCTGTTCTCACAGACCGTTCAGATGGAAAACTCTCCACTATACCGTTGTTATTGCTGTTGTTATTCTATGTGTGTTGGAGAAAGATCGAAAATTTTCTTCACTGACTTTTTTCCCTATAAAATTTCAGTTGACTTTAATGATATTTAAAAAACATTTTTTGTCTGAAAGTTACATGTAGCCTTTATATTTTGATGCCACACATGTAATTTTTGCTTTAAAAATTATGGGAAAAAAGGAATCATGGTAATTTGTTTTCTAATTTTAAATTTTACCTACATCAAGCTTATAAAAGTACATTTATTTCTTTCCTATTTACCTGCCAGAAGGAGTTGAGAAGAGTTAATTTTGAAAATGCTAATGATATAATGTGATAATAAGCAGTATCCACATTTCATTTACTAAATGGATTAATATATTAAGAGTAATAAGTTAAGATTTCAGTTATTTAGGACATAGGCATAAGAATTTCAATAAAAATAATGAAAAGATTAGCTCAAGTCATAGAAAAATACATTAAATATATTACATTATAATAAATATATTTAGCATAATATAAAAATATATTAAAAGGTCCTTAGCCTCATCCACATTAAGGAAAATGCACAGTAAATCTACAAACTATACTGACATACTCTTTTCAGTTATCACACTGTTAAGATCAAATCTTTGTTAACAAATTAGATTGGTGAGTACAGTGGCTAAGAAGGTGCAGTACTTGGATCTCCCTGTATGAAAACCTGCTGCATGGAGCATAGTTAGTGTTTTCTGGAACCAGCTCCTGTTTTGGGAAAGCCGATTGTTAGCAACATTTTCAATTTTCTGTACCCAGAAAATTGAAAATGCTTCGAAGAAAGGCTTTTAAAAAACTCTGTAGAACCAGTTGTTAATCATTTACCAACACACCACTGAACACAGTTGACTAACAGTTGCTGTGTTATCTGATTTGCTGTGGTTCGCACACTGAAGCCATAATTCTCCAAGGCTAAGCGTTACCCCAGTGTCTATGAATGGTGGTAATATTATAGTTTGTCTATTCCTGCTTAATGCCTAACTCTATTGAGCAACTTTTACTCTGGGACTCCCCATTACCTAACTAGTCTGAGGCTCTTCCTACTCAATCCTTCCTTCCCTCTTGACAGGTGCCAGAATTGCATTGTTGTCTGAAAGCTCCTTCTTCCTTCCTTCCTCCTCCCAGGCATTTATCTTGGTTAAATTCTAACACATGTAACCCTGACTTGACATCACACTTAGGGGACCAGAATGTCATATAGTTGGAATCATACAATATGTAGCCTTTTCAGATAGGCTTCTTTTACTTAGTATTATGCATTTAAGGTTCCTTTATGTCTTTTCATGCCCGATAGCTCAGTTCTTTTTAGTACTGAGTGATATTCCATTGTCTGGATGTACCACAGTTTATCCATTCACCTTCTGAAGGATATCTTGATTGTTTTCAAGTTTTGGCAACTATGAATAAGCTGCTATAGATATTTATGCTTATAGATTTTTGTGTGGCCATAGTTATCAGCTTGTTTGGGTAAATACCAAGAAGCACAATTGCTGGTAAGAATATGTTCAGTTTCATAAGAAATCATCAAACTGTCTTTCATAGTAGCTGTACCATTTGCATTCCACCAACAGTGAATGAGAATTCCTGTTGATCCACATCCTCACCAGCATTTGATGTCAGTGTTTTGGATTTGGGCCATTCTAAGAGATATGTAGTGATATCTTGTTTCAATTTACAATTCCCTAATAATATATAAGGTTGGACATCTTTTCATATGCTTATTTGCCATCTGACTATCTCCTTAGGTGTCTGTTTAGTTCTCTTGCTCATTCTTTTAATTGGGTTGTTAATTTTCTTGTTGTTGAGTTTTAAGAGTTCTTTGTATATTTGGTGTAATAAGCCTCTATCAGATATGTATTTTGCAAATATTTTTTCCCAGTCTTGGCTTGTCTTTTTTTTTCTTTCAACAATATATTTCACAGATCAGAGTTTTTAATTTTAACGAAGTCTAGTTTATTAATTATTTATTTTATGGATCATGACTTTGGTGTTATATATGAAATATTATCACCATACCTAAGGTCACCTAGTTTTTTTCTCATGTTATCTTCTAAAAGTTCTATATTTTCATGTTTTACATTTAGGTGTATGATCCATTTTGAATCAGTTTTTGTGAAAGGTGTAAGTTCTGTGACTAGATTAATATTTCTGCATGCATTTGGATGTTTAGCTGTCTCAGCACCATTTGTTGAAAAGACTATCTTTGATCCATTGTATTGCCTTTGTTTCTTTGTCAAAGATTAGTTGACTATATTTATGTGGAACTATTTCTGGGCTCTCTGTTTTTTTTTTTCTATTTGCCTTTTCTTTTGCCAATATCTCACTGGCTTGATTACTGTCACTTTTTAGCAAGTATTTAAATTGGGTAGCGTTTGTCCTCTAACTTTGTTCTTCTCCTTCAATGTTGTGTTGGTTCTTCTGCTAAAGTTTTGCCTCTCTTTATATACTTTAGAATCAGTTTATCGATATATTCAAAATCAGTTGCTGGAATTTTGATTGTGATTATGTTATAGCTATTGATCAAGTTGAGAAGAGCTGACATCTTAAAAATATTGAATATTTCTGCCCATGAATGTGGGCAGTCTCTCTATTTATTTAGCTCTTTGATTTCTTTCAATGGCATTGTGTAGTTTTCCACATACATATCTTATACATATTTTGTTAGATTTATATCTACAAGTATCTCTTCCTTGCAGACATTAGGGCATTTTTCTTTGGCCACTATGCTCATCTCTCTTTCCATGAGTTCCTTTCCATGAATATTCTATTATCTAATGGAAATTATTTTCCATTCAAATGACCTGTCTGCCAGCTTTTTATATGTGTTTAGGTGTTGCCTCAGGGTTTAGGTCCCCAAACTGGGATCTTCCATTGGAAGTATAAAGCAT